AATAGCAGCAATTTTCTGGCCTCGTAAGCAGCTGTGGAACTACTTCATTATTGATGAGGCCTGTGTCCACAGAGGACTGGCGCCTCCGCAGAGCCAGGAACCACCTGGGGGGCGGTGGGGGGGGGGGGTTTTCTTTTACTCCTGACAGCGTGATTGCTGAAGAAACTTAAAACTTGCTTCAGATGAGGCTCAGAGTTCCCAGATTTAAAGGTGGGGCTCTAGTACTAGGAGTCTGCCTAGCTTGTACCAACAACATGCATTTGAAGAGTAATTAAAAGGCAGCCATCACTCAGTCGTTCCTGTTAGCTAAAATTTTGGAGCTATAGCTCTTCGAGACTAGGACCCCACCCAGCATCTGAATCATGTGCTTAAGAGCTGCTTTTGCTTCCCTGTAGCTTGGGGGGAACTTGGCTGCACCCTACTGGATCAGTCACTGAGACTCAGCCTCAGTTTCCTTGCTTTGTAAAATGGACTTACAGTGGCTGGCTCATTAGGGTGATGGAAGCTTAGTGAGTGGGTGTTTGGTGCGCGTTGCTAGGCGTGTGTTCTCTTCATTACCCCGTGGTGTCTGGCACAGAACCTGTACGCACTGGGTACATGTAAGTAGGGGGAGTTCTGGGAGCCTTGGCAGAGCAGGAAAAGGAACAAAGCATGTGGCCAGTACTGGCGGGCCGGTAGCTTGGAGTGACAGTGGGCTGCACGAGAGGGCATGCCAGGAGGCAGGGCCAGCACTGAGTGGAGTGACCCTGGAGGCCACCAGGAAGCTCTTGGAATTTGCCTCCTACGAAGAGGGGGACCAGGAACACATTTAAGGCAGAAGACAGACATGGTCAGGACTGTTGTTTTAGACTAGACCAACATCTATCTGCGCGGTGGATGGTGGGAAGAACGTGTTGGGGGCTGACACGGTGAGGGGGCAGGCGGGAGGCCATGGGGTCTGGCCTGGTGCAGTACTGTCTGTCTAGAAGGACCGGGCCGAGTCGAGAGCCCCGGGGAAAGTAGAATGTGCAGGGCCTGGGGGTGCACTGGAAATGGGGGCACAAGGGAATGGCAAGAACCCAGAAGTGACTTGGAGGTTTCTAGCTTGGGTAACTGGATGAGTGATGATGCCAAAAACTGAGGTGAGAAAGGGAGGAGGAGTTCTGGGGTGAGGAGGAGACCGATAATACATTCAGATGACTCGATGGCTGTAATATGTACGCACACCCACAGAGAGCTACTTTCAGCCATAAAGAACAAAGCCGGCGCGAGGAGCCCTGACCCACTCTCCTGACTCCTGTCAGAAATTCAGTCACAAACAAGGGGTCTGAGTGACCCATCAGCAGAATCTAGAACAAGCTGTTCTTGTTGTTCTCCTGACAACTGTGCAGCCTGTGGGTCTAGGAGCTGCTAAATAGAGGGTGGACTTCACAGTTAACTCATTCTTGGTCCCCAGCCCTGAGGTCCCTAGGACACACAGGACAGACTCATCCTGCCTCTGCTGCTCACCCCCTGACTCCTTAGGCAAGTCACATAACCTCTCTGAGCGTTTCTTCGTTCGTCTGTACAGTGGGACTTGTCATGGCACTTTGCGAGGCTAAAATAAGATGTGTCCATGCCACATAGCCCAGGGCCTGGCACACTGTAAATAACAGTAGCAGCTGTTGTGGCTCTTGTTGTTATTACTGGTGGCTATGACTAGCCATACTTTAGGGAATGTGTATTGGGTTTGAAATCTGCTTGTGTCCTCTGTGCCCATGGGAAAACTGAGACCTAGTCCTAAGTGTTTTTTATATGTATATATATATATATTTGTGTGTGTGTATTTATATTTGTAGATATTTATTTATTTAAGTAATCTCCACAGCCAGTGTGGGGCTCAAACTCACAACCCCAGGATCAAGAGTCACATGCTTCACCGACTAAACCAGCCAGGTGCCCTTAAGTATTCTATTTTCATGACGATAAATAAGAGTGAAGTTCCCATAACTTCAATCCCAAGATGTTGCTTGGTCTTCCATTTCCTTCCTTCCTTCCTTCCTTCCTTCCTTCCTTCCTTCCTTCCTTCCTTCCTTCCTTCCCTCCTTCCCTCCTTCCCTCCTTCCCTCCCTCCCTCCAAGCTGTCCCAAGGAGCTCACAAGCTAGTAGGGGAGACCAACACAAGAACATTTAACTGTGGTAACATGTGATGTGGCACTCTGCAGTTCCTCAGTACTGGAGGTAGGGGTGGAAGAATGGATGTGCCCTGCTGGAGATAGAGGAGCAGGGAAGGAAGGCTAGATGGCGAGCAGAAGTGTGTTAGGCTGGGCCAAACCACAGGGAGGGGTTTGCTGGGTGGCTAAGAAGGGTATTTCTCTTGTTAGGGGTGACCAGTGGAAGCCCTGGCACCTGACCCAGTGTGGTCTGGAGAAAAGCCCAGAAGAAGCTGGAAATGTGGCCTCCTCAGATGCCTTGCCATGTGTGGGGCATTAGGCTGTGGGAGATGGAGAGCCCCTGGAAGGTTTAAGGTGAGGGTATCTGCATGAGGCATGGCATAGAGCAGGGAGGTTGGTTAGCAGTGGAAGAACTGAAGTTGGGATTTGGGTGCTAGAGAGAGTGACCATGTCAAGAGGCAGAAGGGGTCATCGGGATGTGGTGACTGGACAGTTGGGAGGAGAGAGTAGTGGGGTCACTGGGACAGTGTGGAGAAGGACCTGGCCTACTAGAGAAGGCGCCATGCTTGGTCTGGGACAGTGGAGTTGGAGGTACCTGGGAGAGGCCAGTCCCTGGCAGCTGACAGAGAGCTGGATCAGGAAAAGGTCTCAGGAGAGGTCTGGGAGGGACCAGAATGAATGAGGCCCCTAAAAAAGGGTTGGTGGAATGAGGGAAGCACTGTGGCTGGCGGGTGGTTGTCACCATCCCTGTGGATTCTGCACCGGGGCCTACTGAAACCAGAGGGGGCACCTAGCTTTTGAGTTTAGAGGGTTGGGAGCTCTGGAGATCCTGGCAGGCTTGGCAAGTTCCCTGTGCGTAAACCATTCACCCGATCAGGGCCTGTTTGTCTAGGGCACTGGGAGACTGACCAGTTAGTTTCCCCGGCCTCGTAGGTAGTGCACTGGGGACAGTTTCCAGTTCCCAAGGTCTCCAGAGACCGTGCCCTGTGATTTGCCTTCAACACTAGCCTCGCTGCTCCGCTCTGCAGCCCTCAGCCTGTGCACTTGACACACTGGCTCCTCTGAGGTTTGGTTTTGTTTGTCTTTCTAATGGGCTTTCTTCTTTTTTTCTCTTTTCCTTTTTTTTTTTTTTTCTTTCCCTTCTTTGGCCAAGTTTAAAGTATCCGTGCAAGTTGACAGGCTGGGGGAGCCCAGTGCTTCCATCAGGGAGCTGGCTGGGGAGGGGCTGGCCCCCTTGTTATCTTGGGAGGATCACCTGTGGGTACTGGGACTGGGCTGGGCCTTTCCCCCTAGTGTCTCAGCTGGCAGGGTGGAGTGGAGGCAGTGATGGCTGATAAGAGGGAGCTGAGACCTCTAGAGTAGGCCCCACTAAGGTGTGGGCCGCCCTTCCCAGCCCCGGCCACGCCTCCTTGGTCAGCCCGAGGCTTGAGGCACAGGCCAGGGAGGGATAGAGAGCAAAGCAAGCTGGAAGCTGGGAGTTGGCCAGTTAAACCGAGGAAATAATTTTCTCTTCCAGAAATGTGCTCCTTCTTAATATTCTTAGTCTGCTTTATATTTTCCCATTTTTAATAAAAGGACACAGGTACTAAAAAAGAAAAAAAAAAAAAAGGACACAGGTACTGAGAAACGTTTTGTGTTTCTGTCATGCTGGGGCCGTGGGGGAGTGTGGGCACTTAAATAAAGGGTCAGCCACCTCCCAGTCCATTTCTTCTACCAGGAGATTAGGGACTGGCATTGCCAGGCCTTTAATGTTTTCCGGAAAAGCTAGGAGTCCAGGTTGAATGGGAAATTACCAGTTGGCTCAAATTCTTAAAGATAAATGCTGGAAGCCAAGTGAAGTCCACCTGTGGCCAGAGGAGGCCCGGGGACTGTGGTCAGTGTTCTCCAGGCCAGACACACCTCACTCTAACATCCTGCCCAACCAAGGCACACTGGGACTTATCTCCCGAGGGAGGAGGGAGCACTACAAGACTGAGTCACTTCCAGATTCATCTCTGACATGAGCCTTTGTGGCTGTGGCACACTGAGTCCCTTCCCCGGAGTCCACTGTCTTCACTGGTGCAGTGAAGGCCAGGGCTGGGTCTATGGTTTTCAACCTTTTTTTTTTTTTTTTTTTTTTTAAAGCGGTAGAGCCTTTGTATAAACCAAATCTTATAGGGAATGGGACACATATAAAAATTGGGGCTGCCTGGGTTGTAGGGAGAGTCTGGAGTTCTGCCCCAAGGCTGACCTCTGCCCTCCCTGACGGCTGCCTCTGCCAGGCCCCACAGAACAGTGTAGTGGTTGCCCACCTGCGGGCCAGCGCTCTCTACCCCTCTGAGCCCTGGCATGCTGTGCGTTGAGTGGGAGGAAGAGGACCACAGGGCCAGAAGGAGAGCGAGCTGCAGTGGGTCTGCCCCGCAGCTGGCACCTCACCCACCCCCCCCACCCCCCGTACGTGGGGATGTAGGCATTTCGAGGAGCCAGCCCCTGGGCGGCCTCCTCGCATCAGCCCTCCATAGCATACATCACTATTTCCATTTCACAGGTGGGCAAACCAAGGCACAAGAAGAGAAAGTGAGTTGCCCACAGTTCACTTGGCTGGCATGTGGAGGGGCTTAAATTCTACCCAGGCCTCCAAGGCTCCAAAGGCTTCCTCCTGCTCTGGAGCATCTTTCTTTGTTCTTCACGGAGAACCACCCTGCTCCCCGGGTTGGGGGATGGGGCAGCCCCTCAGGTCTGAGGCTCCTGGGTCCCAGCGATGATGGTTCCCATCCCCAGTGTTTCTGGGCCAGTGTGCTTTAGTTTGTAAAGCTCCTTTCAGACATGACCTTGTTTTGCTGGTGTCAGACTTGTCTAAATAGGGCTCTCCTTTCTATTGCTACGCAGGAGGCAGAGCCCTCTGAGCCCAGAAGTGCGGAGGTGACGAGGAAGCCCAAGACTGCTGCTCTTTCCGCCAGCAAGAGGCCCAAGAAGGAGGCAAAGAAGAAGCGGTAGAAGAGGAGACCTGTAGAGCCAGGCGGGCAAGGCAGGGGCCTCGGCGGGGAGCCCTCCTGGGACTCAACGTCCTGTTCCCTCCGACATCCCAGGGTCAGGGCTGAGGTGGCTGGGCCACTCTCTGACCACAGAGATCTGGACAATCATGACAGTCCCCAGGCCCCAGCTGGGCAGCCTACCACTTCCTCTTCCTTCTGCTTCCGAGACAGTTTAGAGCCACAGGGACTAAACCCTGTGTGCAGAGGCTGTGCAAGAAGTCTGTCTGTCCAGAAGTTGGGTCAGCTCCGAGTGACATTTCCATACTTAATCATTGTGTCCAACCTTCAGACCCACACCTTGTGGATTTACATTGCATTTTAGAGTCGTGATCTCGTGCTGACACACACCGCCCCTCCCATCACTTGTGCACCACAGATCTGCTAATCAGTCACCTTTGTCTCTGCCATACAGATGGGGTCAGGCCAGGCCTTCCCTGTTTGTTTAGGTCAGGAAGCCATGGCTACTGCGATGTCAGTGGTCTCACAAGCATGACAGCCAGGTCCGAAGATGCCTGGTGGCAGAGCCAACAGGCAGGCTGGCTGGCCAGGATTTGCCTGGTTCTCTTCTGGCAGACAGAAGGGATTTGGCTACATGAGTGCATGTTCTTGGGCTCAAACTTTATTAGCCTCTGAAATGGGGGGCTTGTCAGTCTCAGAGCAACCTCTTTTCAGCCCATCATGGCGTATTCAGTGTGTGCCTTTTGGCTTCATCTGTACACGTCCCCTTTCCCCTCATTTCTTTTAACCCCCATAACAGTGAGGAAAAGTCATCTGGGCAAGTAAATGTCAATAAACTGCCTCACATGCTGAACCTCCTGTGTGTTGCCTGCTGCTTAGCGAAAGAGGTATCCTGGGTCCCTTGCCCTGGGTGCAGGGAAGGGGCTCACCCCCATAGAAGTGGGGTAGTGGGGCTGAGGAGGTTCAGAGCAGTGCTGCAGGCCAAGCCATTCTGGGACAGGTTTCAGGAAGGGTCCAGCCAACTGCTTCATGTGGCCCTTAGTCACTGGAAACACTCGTGAATGTCCATGCGTGTGTGAGAGTTTCCACCAAGGCTGGGCCCCACTCATTCCCCATTTCCCATTGCCAGAGGAGGACTCTGCTCATTCTCCAAGCAGCTTGAAAAAAAACCAACTAGAAGGCCTCACGTGGCGTGGGGCGGGTCACGCAGGTCCAGTCACGTGCTCCGAATCAGCTGCCAAGGAAAAGCCTCAAGCTCCGGTAACTCTGATTTGCCAGGCTGCTTTCCAGTTTGCCGAACACTTTCCCAAATATCACAATGAGTGAGGGGCCTGTATCACTTCCATTTTAGAGATGGGAGCCTGAAGTCCAGAGTATTTGAAAGTGCCAGAAGTCGGGCTTGGACCCAAGTCCATGGCCCCTTTCCTTGGTATTTAGGAAATACTCAATGAGTGTCAGTAGGTGCAACGTTTAAGGGTCCCCACTAAGGCCTGGGAACCCTAGGGGCTGGAGCATCAGCAGACCAGGACCAGTTGTGGCCAGGTGTTTCATGAGAGCCCCTTCCGATGGCCTCACCCCAGTTGGGCTCCCTGGATGCAGAAAGGAGGAAGCTTGCCTAGCCCAGTGGGAGACTCAGCCATGGAAAGAGGCTGGGGGTGGAGAGTTGTCCAATGTGGGAGCTGCAGATCCTGTGGGAGCTGAGCAGAGGGACACCCAGCTCAGTCCAGGTGGTCAGCACAGCCACCTGGCAGAGGGGAGGTAATGAACTGAATCTGTTTTTTTTTTTTTTTTTAAGATTTTATTTATTCATGAGAGACACACAGAGAGAGGCAGAGACACAGGCAGAGGAGAAGCAGGCTCCATGCAGGGAGCCTGATGTGGGACTCGATCTCGGGTCTCCAGGATCACACCCTGGGCTGAAGCTGGCGCTAAACCGCTGACTCACCCGGGCTGCCTGAACTGAGTCTTAAAGTCTGGCTGGAGGTGAGACCAGAGGGAAATCATGCTGGGAGAGCAGGGAGGTGGGGGTGGGGTGGGGGCAGACCTCTGGAGCAGACCTTGCCCAACCTCCTGCAGGAGAGACAGCTTCTGGCTCATAGCTACAGGGCTGCTTTGGTAGGTCCAGCTCCCTTATGGTGTCTCCCTTGGAGGCTGTCCTCTCATCTCTGCACACATTCCTCAGAGATCTGGCTCTGACGTTAAATTCTACCTACACATCTGCTGAGATCTCCCAAACAAATCCCTCCAGACCCCTACCCTGACCTCCAGACTTCCACATCTGACCAACTGCTCCTCTCTCCATCTGGGTTCCCAACACACATCTTGGAGCAAATTCCTGATTTCTCACGGCAGTCCCAAATCTGCACTTTTTGTGGTCATCCTCATCCTAAAAAGCATCTTAATTCTTCCAGTTGCTCAGGCCAAAAACCCCATGGACTCATCCCTAACGCCCCTCTTGCAGCATGTCTCTCTACTTCTGACTCTTAAGTGGTTCCTTGTGATCTTTCAAAATCCTGAATGAGACCTGTCTTGCCACTTCGCTCTGCTGCCTCAGCCCAGCCCCCAGCCTTTCACCTGGCGGCAGCCTCGTCATGGGTAGTCCTTTGTCCACACAACAGCCCGAGGGGTCCTGCTAAAACCTGTAGGACCACAGTCCTTCACCTTCTTCCATCTCACTCAAGGAAAGGTCAAAGTCCCTACCGGGACCCATGAAGGCTTGCAAGAGCCACTCACCAGCTTCACCTTTCTGCCTTGTCATGCAGTCCTAGCCCACTCCACAGCATTTGTACTGGTCTCCAACTTGCCAGAGGAGCCCTGCCTCAGGGCCTTTGAACTTGCTGTTCCCACTTCTTCTTGGTACTATGTCTTACATGGTGGACAGAATAATGGGATGCCCAAAGAGTTCCAGGTCCTAGTCCTTGGAACCTGTGGCTATGTTACCTGATGTGGCAAAGGGACTTTGTAGATGTGGTTAAATTAAGGATCTTGAGATGGGAAGATTATTCTGGATTATTGAGGTGGGCCTAGTGTCATCACAAACGTCCTTAGAAGGAAAAGAGAGAGGTAGGAAAGTCTGAGAAGGCCATGTGATGACAGAAGGAAAACATAGAATAATATAGGATCACAAACCAAGGAAGGTGGGGTCTCTAGAAGCCAGAAAAGGCAAGAGGATGGATTCTCCCCTGGAGCCTCCAGAAGAAGCATAGCTCTGCTAACATCTTGATTTCAGCCTAGCAAGACCCCATTTTGGACTCCTGACCCCAAGAACTATACAGTATTGGATGCCTGGGTGGCGCAGCGGTTTAGCGCCTGCCTTTGGCCCAGGGCACGATCCTGGAGACCTGGGATCGAATCCCACGTCGGGCTCCCGGTGCATGGAGCCTGCTTCTCCCTCTGCCTATGTCTCTGCCCCCCCCCCCGTGTGTGTGACTATCATAAATAAATAAAAATTTAAAGTATTACATTTGTGTTTGTATTACATTTCTGTAAAGTATTATATTGTGTCGTGTATTGTATTTGCGTTGTGTAAGCCATTAGGTTTGTTAGAACTGCAGTAGGAAATGGATACGCCTCACTTTCCTGGGGTTATCACAGAGGGAAACCTTCTCCAGCCAGCTAGTTTAAAATTTTCCCCCAAACTTCCTGTCCCTCACTTATTTTTCTCTCCTTACCATATACCACCAGCTAACGTACTAGGTATTTTACTTCCTTTGTCTATTGTCTTACCTGCCAATTGGAATGTGAGCACCAAGAAGAAAGGAACTTTATTGTTATTCTTGCTCCCACTTGGATCCCCAGAGCCTAGAAGAGTGCTGGGCTCAATAAATATTTACGATATGGCTGATAGGGGAAGGTGGCCTGTCTTAACAATACAGCTCATGAGTAAATGTGACATCTGCTCATATGCTTTCCCTGAATGATTTCATTCTATTCGCAGAGCAACCCCATGAGGTTGGTAACATTATCATCCCCATTTTACAGATGAGGGTATGGAAGTGCCTGGAATTGAACTCATACAGCCTGATTCCAGTGCTGGCCTGCTAAGCCATGTTGCTATTTTCTCCCTTTCTGCTCTGGAATTCTCATGGGAAATTTTCTGGGGGAGAAAAGATTGGGTCCAGGTTCTGGAGGCTTCACAATCCAGAGGACTAAATCACTAATGGCAAAATTATGCTCACCAATGAGGAAGAGGCTCTAAGGTAGAGTTGTGGCTGTTTTCATTTTACCGAGGTAAAATTCGTATAACATAAAATTAGCCACTTTAAAGTATATAACTTAGTGGCACTGATTAAATTTACGGCGAGGGCACCTGGATGGCTCAGTCGACTAAGCATCCGACTCAGTTTTGGCTCAAGTCGTGGTCTCAGGGTCGTGAGATTGAGCCCCTGTGAGTCTGCTTGTCCTTCTCCTTCTGTTCCTTTCCTGGATTGTGCTCACTCTTTCTCAACTAAATAAATCTCTTAAAAATTTAAATTAAAAAAATAAATTTATGAGGTGCAACCACCACCTCCATCTAGTTCATTTTTTAAAAGATTTATTTAGGGATCCCTGGGTGGCTCAGTAGTTTGGTGCCTGCCTTCAGCCCAGGTCGTGATCCTGGAGATCCAGGATTGAGTCCCACACTAGGCTCCCTGCATGGAGCCTGCTTCTCCATCTGCCTGTGTCTCTGCCTCTCTCTCTCTCTTTCTCTCTGTCTCATGAATAAATAAATAAAATCTTAAAGAAAAAATATTTATTTATTTTAAAGACAGATGCTCAACTGCTGAGCCACGCAGGTGTCCCTCCATCTAGTTCCAAACCATTTTTGTCACCCCAAAAGAAAATCTCATACTCATTTAACAATTTCTCCCCATTCACCTCTCCCCCAGCCCCTGGCAACCATAAGTCTGCTGTCTATAGATATAGATTTACCTATTCTGGATATCTCATACAAATGGAGCCACACAGTATGTCTGGCTTCTTTCACTTAACATGAGTTTCTGAGGTTCATCTATGTTGTAGCGTAGTGAATGTAGCACTTCATTCCTCTTTATGGCTGAATGCTATCCCATTGTGTGCATGCGCATGGAGGTGTAGCTGTGTGGTGTTATCAAAGGAATTTACATCTCTGATTTTCAGAGTCCACCAAATGGAGATCACACAATAACTTTGCAGGGCAATTGTAAAGATTAGACATGCTGGGGGCACCTGGCTCTTTCAGTCAGTGGAGCGGACAACTCTTGATCTAAGGTTTGTGAGACTGAGCTCCACACTGGATGTAGAGATTACTTAAAAATCTTAAAAAATAAATTAGACCACCTTGTGCATATGAGGTTCCTAGAGCCTAGTGGGTAACTTATACATGGTAGCAGTGAAAACGATTATTCAACCAGATAAATGTATCATTAAAATATTCTGACCTTGGAGTGCCTGACTGGCTTAGTCTGTAGAGCACATGACTCTTGTATCTCAGGGTTGTGAGTTTGAGTCCCACATTGGGCATGGAGCCTACTTTAAATAAATAAATAAATAACATAACATAACATAACATAACATAACAATATAACATAACATAACATAACATAACATAACATAACGTAAACCACCTTCCCAAGACATTCTGATCTCAAGTCAGACATTATCTTAGCTTCTTCTGAAGACAAGCATGTCCTTAGCTGCTCAGTCCTGGGAAACCAAAATTAAGGGAGAGGTTCTGAGGTTGAGCACTTGCTTGCTTTTATACTCACAGAGCTCTTTATATTTCTAGCAGATTTTGCCATCAGTGTTTCCCTTGCACATCTATTCAAGAGTTTTTCAAATAATGGAGGTTGAAAGACACTGGACAGTGAAGGGGTTGGGGAAGAGCTATCTTTA